GGCGTGGGGCGTGGGGCGAGGGAGAGATCTCCAAACATCTGACATGTTATTTCCTAACCTGGGAGCAGGTGAGTCTAGCTCCCTGAGGCATGGTGAAATCTGAAATCTGAAGCTAACTTCCCTCTCCCTGCCGGAGGGGCGTGGGGCGAGGGGCGTGGGGCGAGTGGGGCGAGGGAGAGATCTCCAAACATCTGACATGTTATTTCCTAACCTGGGAGCAGGTGAGTCTAGCTTCCTGAGGCACGGTGAAATCTGAAATCTGAAGCTAACTTCCCTCTCCCTGCCGAGCTGAGGTGGAGTTCACTGACCTAATTTGGCTCCTTTTCGGAGCAGTGTAACCACCACAGATGTGTTTCGACATCCAATGGCTCTGTCCAGGGGACGCATCCCGCTGTGGTCCACGTGCTCAATCACAGCTCCCTTCTCGACCAGGTACAGCACCTGCAGCGGGAGAGCAGAGGCCTGGGGAGCAGCTGGTGGCAGGGGCACCGCCACTCGCCCAGCTCCGCATCTGATGCAGGGGCCTGCGGGCTGAGCTTCACTCCTATTTCAGGTGCGAAGCTGACAAAAAAACAGAAGGGGAGCCACAATCCGTGGCTGACACCTCCGCTAAGGGTGGCTCACTCGGGAGAGTGTGGTGCTGATAACACCAAGGCCACGGGTTCGGATCCCATATAGGGATGGCCGGTTTGCTCACTGGCTGAGCGTGGTGCTGACAACACCAAGTCAAGGGTTAAGATCCCCTTACCGGTCATCTTCAAAAAAAAAAAAAAAAAAAGTAAAGAAATTCTGACATATGCTACAACATGGATGAATCTTGAGGACTTTATGCTAAAGGAAATAAGCAAGTCACAAAAAAGACAAATACTGTACGATTCCACTTCCATGAAGTACCTAAAGTAGCCAAAATCAGAGAGACAGAAAGTAGAATGGTGGCTGCCAGGGGCTTGGGGGCGGGGGTGGGAGAGGTTTGGAAACGGGGGGGTTGTTTACTAGGTACAGAGTTTCAATTTTGCAAGATAAAAATGTCTGGATGAAGGCTGTACAACAACGTGAATATATGTAACACTACTGAACTCTATATACTTAGAAATGGTTAGGTTATGTGCTTTTACCCAAAATTTTTTTTTTTTTTTTTTTACTGACCGGCAACGGGATCGCAACCCTCGGTGTCGCGCCCGCATCATGCTCAGCCAGTGAGCGGGAACCGGTCTCCACATGGGATCCGAACCCTCTGCGGGAGTGCCGCCGCGCTCCCAAGCGGCGCACTCTCCAGTGCGCCACCGGGCCAGCCCCAAAATTTTTTTAAATGACTCTAGAATATTAAACTCCTTCACTCTTCCCCAGTATCAACAAACTATGGAATTTGGTCAGGTAGTGGAAAAAGTGTGAGATTTAGTTAAATCTCTGTTTCTAAAAAGTGACATGAAGTACAGTTTACAAGGTACAGGAAATCGAAACACTGAATTCTAACATCACTGCCTTTTAAAGGCACCAAGCACAGGTGTCAGGTCTATAGCTCCTGGTAGCAAATACCTGTCTCTCCAGCTAGTCCTCACATTAGACATATTGATCCATCAAAAAATCATAATTCTCAAGTAGGTGAATATTTCTCTGGCACCTGCTGGACACCTGGGATGTGGAGCCTGACAAAGACAGGGTTCCTGCCCTGAAAGACATTTTGTAGTTCTCAAGTTTATTAAGGTTTTAACCTCTCACACCTTGATAAGACTTAGGCAGGTATCTGGCAAAGAGATAAAGATAGAACCCAAAGCTGTTAGTATTATTTTTAGTTAATGTCACATCGCTTTGAAAACGAACCAGTATATAAACACAATGAAATACTACACAGCCTTAAAAAAGCAGGAGATTCTGTTATATACAACATGGATGAACCTGGAGGACATTACGCTAGTGAAATGAGCCAAGCACAGAAGGACAAATAGCGTATGATCTCACTCATATGTGGCATCTAAAAAAGTCAAACTCCTAGAAGTAGAGGGTAGAACAGTGGCTGCCAGATGCTGGGGGCTGGGGTAGAGGGGGGCTGCAGGGGGCAGAGGGGGGAAGGGGAGACGGTCACAAGGTACAAAGTTTCAGACAAGAGGAATAAGTCCTGTTGATCTGTTGCACAGCACAGTAGCTATAGTTAATAACAATGTATCCTGCATTTCATATAGCTGAAAGAGAGGACTTTTAAACGTTCTCACCACAAAGAAATGATAAATACTTGAGGTTATGGATATGTTCATTAGCCTGACCTAATCGTTCCACAATGTATGCGCATGTATCCAAACATCACATTGTACCCCACAAATATATACAATTATTATTTGTCAATTAAAAATGAAACTTAAAAAACAACTAGCTAATCATTTCATTAGTAGCTTCTTAAATGTAAAGGTGGTTTCCAAATGACATATGCAGGAATTCTATCTATATGGCTTACTATGAGAAAATAAAACTAC